TAATACTCGGAGGGGGGGGGGCTACGCCCCCTCGTACAAATCAGATAACCTCGTGTTTCGGTGCTCTTTCTATTACAAATTAGATACAAAATCTATATTTTAGTCACGATTTAAAGTTTTGATGATAATTTACGGTATATCTAAAGTAAAGTATTGTATTCTAAGAATGTTTCAGACAAATAAATTGAACAGATTAATTCTATTATTATTATTATTATTATTATTATTATTATTATTATTATTATTATTATTATTATTTTCATTATTATAAAAAAAGAAAGCTTTAAAGCCAATAATTTAAAGAAGTCTTTGACTCTATTTCGTTTAATCCCACCAGCACCGGTTAAAACAGAAAACAACATTTGATCAAAAACGGCTTAATGTCTTACTACTACTAATGTCCGCACAAAAACTATATGAATGATACCTGACATCATAATCTGCAGCACTGAATAGAAGTCCAATCGAGAGTTCAACATCTGTCATACAGCACTTGACACCGGTTTTATATAGAGTAAACAAAGTCTTGAAAAACGATACATATATCTATATTCGAAATATATGAACGTCTATCGTCCTCATTTTACTAACTCAACAGATGTTACAGTTCATTTGATTATCAATTGCATAATTAAAACTCCCACATTATTTTTGTACTATTATCTCAATGAAAATCAATAAAATGTGTATCATTTCGTCAATTGAGTAAATCATTTGTTATTTAAGTTAAACAAAAACATATGTTTCTATTTGACTTTTTCTTACATAAATAAAGAATATCGATATCAATTTCATATAAGAAACATAACGTGGTTGCCAGAAATATGATATAAGAGATTTACAGAGTTCAGTGTAATATTTGAAACAACCATATACATTGTACTAGTAAATGAAATATTGAAATGATCTACTGTTTCTGGCATATTAGAGAAATAAGACATCATCAAGTCAAACTTTTCATTTGTCTGAAGCAACATTATGGCAATACGAAGGTAACGGCTACCGTCATTCCCTGTGGGTTGCAGGCAATTGAATCTGAATGCAATTAATTTGAGTCATGACAGGTCCGTGCCCTCATATGATACATAGATGAACACGAAAATTACGAGTTATCGTGCCTTGGTCCTCTAGGGCTCCTTGCCACTGGCACTCTTATTGTTGGGTCGTGAGGGGTTGCTTTTATTGAACGGTGCCGTTCCTTGTTGGATCGTGTTTATCTTTTTTTTGCGGTCGTTAGACTTTTTGACTGAGATCTATAAACAATCAGAGAGGTACATTGGTCAGTTTACTTTCTTTTCTATGTTCTGACCAGTTAAATGCCTTAGAGTTTTGGCTATAATATAAGACTTTATCAATTGTGTTTAATACTGGACTTGTTACGTTTTTCATAAATTACTTCAATAGAACATTTTTATAACAATTAAGAAATGCTCACAAAAACTTGTGTCCAAATAAGCAATTACGATAAATGCGTAAAAGTTCTTATAATTTTCATACTCAAAGTTAACCTGGATCATCTCGTGTGACAGCACGTTATTCTATTGTATAATAGTGACTTTTTCTGGTCAGACCTGTATAAGGTTGTTATAGGAGCTCACATTATAAATATGACGTCTAGAATTAAAGTGGTAACATAACCTTATCAGTCAGTCAAGATCATCCGAAAGATATGATCATTTAGTTCTTGCAGCAACACCTTATCTATTTTTCTCCATGATGCATATAATATTTTGATTGGCCTCCCGTGCATCAAAATTGTATCATCACAAAATCACAAAAATAGACTTACATATATATATATATATATATATATATATATATATATATATATATATATATATATATATATATATATATATATATATATATATATATACATGTAGTATCATTCAGTGAATTACTGAATTCAAAATTTAAAAAGTGGGCATGGGCCACAAGATTTGAAAGCCGTAACTATCAAACCAAATCATTAATTTGTGATGAAGGTATTATCCATGGTCCGTATTGTCAGTGCTTGAAAGGGCAGATGAACCCTCATAAAGCCTAAAATATAACATACAAAGTGGCGGCTTGGCCAAGTGGTTCAAACGCCGGATAATTCATCTAATGGTCGCTAGTGGTGTGGGTTTAAACCCAATCAGGCGCAAGCCTTTGGTTTTGTGGGCAAGAACGTTACACTCATTGCTTACTTGTTGTTTCTAGAAAACGGATAAGTGTTCCAATAAGCTTATAGCATTGCACACAATTGAACAAAAATAAATTTGTATAAACTGTAAACTAATTATAATAAATGTATAATACAGAGGTGTACTTTCTAGAAAAGAATAAAAGTTATGAAAAGAAGAGCCACTAAGGTAGAACGCGACACTTTGCGAACTTTCGAGTAGCGTCTTGAAAATTGGCATGCAGACAGTTGACTATATTTCTGATTAGGTTACGTTAATTTTATTTCAATAGTTTCAGCCAATTTTTGTACACACGGCGTCAAAGTTGACCATCAAAGCCCGTTTTTGAACATGACGTCGTTGTGTAACCTTGGCCACTGTATTTCAACGCCATTTGCGGACAAAATATCTTAAATTCTAAAGCATTTGACGGAAATAATATTTTCCTTTAAGCTGATATAAAATTTATTGTTTTACGCCGAAAAATGTTTGAAAAATGGAAAGAAAAATGTCAATTTCGAGAAAAATTTGACATTTAGTTTAGCCGCAATTTTTGGTTTTGAAGCGGCTTATTAAAAAATTCCTGAAATAAATTTTTGATTTTTTCTAAAACGTCTTTTAATATGTATACTTAGTCAAAATAACTAAATAAATTAGGTACACGTGATTTCCCCCTCCCTCCCCCATCCCTTTGAATAAAAGTCACGCTTTCACGGGGCGATTGTTATTTTGCTGTGTATTCAGTACATGTAATACGAATCAGAAAAAAGATATTTAGAAACAAAATTGATTGCTATAAAAGATACTGCTAGACTGATGCATACAAATTTGTGATGTGTTGAGATATCTCAGCTGTTACTTTGTTTGTTTATGCTCGATGACACCGGTGTAGAAGAAGAACAAACATTCAGGACTTCAAAATTGTTGTTCAACAATATCACTGCTTTGATTAAATGATTCTATACCCTTTTAAATGTATGTTTTATCTTGAGCTGTTGACCATTGAAGATGACAAGATATTGTATTTATTAGTATATTAATTTTGTTTACATGAAACTCGTTATCTTAAATGTAAATAGATAAGGTAATGTAGTTAAACCAGTTTATCAAATGATTTTGAAAACAAACACAAGTTTCTAACATTTGATAGTAAGATGACGAATATAAAGGTGCAATTGATTTGAATAATTCATAGTTTAACATTAGCTGCTACGCATTATAAAATTGTCGTTTTTCATTTGTTTGGGTCGTCAGACCAAACAAATAATGGTAGCGGAATTTCAGACCCTGCTTGTTTGCAAAATCCGAAAGTAGTCCATCACCAAATCCTAGAAGCGGTTACTTCCCTTTATAAGTATACTAACGCCGAAAAATTAAGGGGAGATCACTGCGTAAAGATTTCAATTGACAGGCGCATTAATTTTCAACCTCTGAATGGGAAGAATAAATAGTTTCCGATTGTACGAAGTTTTCTAATATTGTGTAATTTTTTAACGTTTCCGCAAAGTACCGATTATAGATTCAAATAATTCTGTTACGCGGAGGAATATCATTTTCATAAATGAAAATTGCTTGGCTATTTCCGTAAAGCTTCGGATTATTGTGATCGCCTATTTAGACTTTCTGAAAAATAAATACCGTAAAATTTTGGACTCTGAAAATGAAAACGAGGCTAGATTGAGTGTCACATGCTTTTGAAACTTAAAACGAGACTGCGAGGGTACAATATGCATTTGACATGCATTTATTGGACTCTTGAAATGGAATGAAATGACGCTACATGGAAAAGATTCGATTAAATAATGATTTTATTGGAATATCACGTGGAACGGTCATTGATTATATTTTATACGAACGGATGTAAAATAAATATCATTATCTTGATAGATAGTTCAGTATAAAATGCTTAAACAAGCAAATGAATTTGGGGTGGGGGTGTTCAGTGCGAATCAACAATCTACCGCATTGCTAACTTAAAGGCGCATATAAATGTATGGCTAGAACAATCACTTGTTTATCTTTGTACACTGTATAGCTAAATCAATCAAATCAAATCAGCAGATTATAATTGTTATCGTGCGACTGATTGTCCACAGAAGGACGTCTTAAAAATCATCAAAATATACATGTATAACACAACATGACTTATTCGTTTAACTAGAGTTGCGATTTGTGTTACGACTCGAATACGACTGCGTTATCAGTATGCGTTATCCAAATTAAAGGTGGTTTACCTTGTACATCATTTGTCAGGTTCGAATGATCATTTCGATTGATTGATCATCGTTTATTACACGTGCTATGTTTTTGATTTATTCGGAATAAATATTTCGGCTCTTCTTTCTCCTTTTTTCAGAAATGTCTTAAATGGTTTAGCTGTTTACTTTTCTTTTCATATTTGTTTATCTGTAAAGTATGGAGGTAGTGCATTGTTTATGCTTAAATAAGAGGTAGGTTAGAGTATGTGTATTTTACTGTAGGGGCGAGTTTTTTGTGGCATTGAGCAGTGTTGCGTCATCGTCGGAATCTACGGTACACAATCCGTATATACAACATGATACTGGTATTACGGTAAATAGCTTGGGTTACCGTGGATGTGGTGCGCACGATAAAACACAATTTTCGTTGTTCTCTTTGATTGGAATTTATGGAGAAAAAGCAATGCTGCAAACAAAATAACTTTCCACTCTTTTGCCTTGTTTTGTTTTTGTGTAATACTGGCAATTTATATTTATCTTTCAGTATAGTAACGTATACCTTTTTGCTTCATATCAGTATTTGGTATAACGTAGGAGATAAACTTTGTTTGACTACCTTTAAAGTCCTTATCTGACCCAGAATTACCGATTTTTACCATGTTTGTGACACGGCAGTCAATAGTTATTCTTCAGGCCAAAGTACTCAAAATGTATAGCTTGAAAACTTTTAAAATGAAATATAAGAAAAACTATTTGGAATAAGACTTTTGGGTAAGTTATATTTCTATTCAAAGATACATGTTTCATCAAACACAGACACATAGAATCTCCTTTTTAAACATTTAAAACAACAATCATTGTGTAGTAGTCTTAAAATAATTCTCTAATTAAGCAAGAAATCATCAATGAATAATTATAGTTAATGTATTTAACTTAAAGAAACTAAATTTTCTCAAATTAAATAATAGTAAATAAATATAATCAATATTTACATCACAACGTCAAGGTTCTAAGGATTGCTGACCGCGTGGGTTCAAACCCTTTCAGGGGCAATTGCAAGCCGTTGTTTCCTTGAGCAAGAAACTACATTCATTGCTTAGTACCGGTTGGTTCCAGGAACGGATTCGAGAGTGATTCAATAAGCTTATAGCTTTCAACATAATCGAACGAAAACTAAATTTGTATGAACTAAACTAGCGTTCAGGGTATTATAAAATTTCACCTTCCACACCGGCATTTTAATCTACTCATAAGACCAGTGCAGACAAAGAGCATACCCTGCACTGAATATTCAGTCAGTACTTATTTTGAAATTTTCCACTTACAAATGAATAACTTTATCAAGATTGAAAGATTGACAAATCCTGTTAAGACATTAAGCATGATGATGGTTAAATAGAAATAAACTTATTCAAAGGGACACTATGGTTTTAATAAAAATAAACTTTTGAGTTCTATGTTGTATAATGACAATTTATTTATAATTTTAAATGCACACATTATTTATCTTTTTAACTGAACACAAAATCTTATATTCATTTAATGATATAATTTGGTAAGAAATAAAGGTGACTGCATTTATTCTACCATTTCTAACAATAAAAAACCCGAAAAATAGAAGAATGTAATATATAGGATACATTTTCACAGTATGATTACCATATTTGTAATTAAACCAGTGAAAAACCCTGCAAACATTAAAGTTACTCTCCCAAACAAAATCTAAAAACATCAATATATTTATTAACAGTGATTTTATATGTAAAGAACTTTAACAATACATGTATATGTTTTACTTGACAGAAAAATCACACCCGTTAACATGCATTGAACAAGACAGCTTGATGCAGTTAGAACATACTATATAAATGTCGGTTTTAAACCGGATTACCCAGATAGTATATGTTTTCTTCTTAAGTCTCCTTTCAAGACATAATTTTCTTTGATATATTGTGCAGGATAAAAAAAAACTTACCAAAAAAGAAATACTCTCAGAATTAAAATTGAAAATCGTTAATCGTTGCAATTATAAGCCCAATTTGAGCGGGAAGACGTTACAACGCTTTTTGCTCTTGGGTCATTTTGAATAATGAAAATGATAAATCTGGGGAAAAACGGGTTGAAGGATTGATCTGAAAAATTACACAAAAAATACACAGAAAAAAATTTCCAGTCCTGACAAAAAATCCCCCCAAGGGAAAAAAAATTTAAAAAATTTAAAAATAAATAAATAATTAAATAAAAAAGTTAAGGGGAGTCCCTTTAAAGGTACTATTTCTATTAATTTTTGCTTGTTTTTTGTTTGCTTTGCTCAATTTATTGAATAAATTCGAAGCCGTTCCTATGAAAAATTATGGTTATAGCTACGCCCCCTCGTACGAATCAGAAAGCCTAACGGTCAATGCTCTATCTTTGACTTACCTAATTTATGGTCGCAATAATGTTATGCCATATATTTTGTTTTATTTGTCTACTCTAAAACATGTAATCATAGTTGAAGTGGATTAAGAATGTGCTGCAATAAAGATACAATTAAGTAGAATGGTATATTTTCTTGCATGACATCGCTCAATTTTAAATAATTTACAATCTACCTTAAGGAGATATATCAGCCAACAATATTAACAACACACATACATGAATTAGCATTCCTGATTTTCGTATTGGCGGCGACGCCAAGTTATTAACGCCAAAAACACTTAAAATTAATCAAATGACTCTGAGAGTATTCCGGGTGTTTATATCATGAAGGCAATTTTGCTGTTTTCACCTTGTATCAATTTATATAGTTAGAACAAATATAAACAAACGAGTGTATTGGCAACTCAAAAATGCTGGACACTATTGCATAGACGGAATAATATAGGACGGGAGATTTTGTGATATTTTTCAATATCGAAATTGTTTTAAGGAGTGATATATTTGGTTATATTTTCATTAAATAAAGGATAAAACCGGTTAATTAATTATGAAATCTGATAACACTGCAAACTTTGAGTGTGCGTTGTATTTCGGTGGTAAAAATGTATTTGTTGAACGGAAATGATCCAATGACAATCATTTCATAAAGAAAGCATAGTCAGTTTTGTTTGTACATGAAAAAAGCAAAACAAAACAAACAAAAGAAAACAACAAAAAACAAAAACAAAACAGACACACATTTGATTTCGGTTTCCTATTTGTTTGTTTGTTGGTTGGTTGGGGGTTCTTTTTGAAGTCGCCTGATAAACAAAAAATGTGAACTGGGTAAAACCAATACATAAATCGTGTCTCGTTATTTTTCTGTTTTCTTTTTTTTTAAATATTTCAAATATGTTTTGAAATATGACTTTTCATCAATAAATGCAATCGACGAGACTCATTCCCAACGTTTCTTATTGTAATTTCATGTACGGAATTTGTGTACATATTGATGAATACTTTTTATGACGAACTTATATATCGCTATACTCTCGACATAGTTTATAAATGCGTTTTTGATAATTTCTGGAAACGTTCTCGCTTACTTTAAAAGTATCATTACACATGTTTACGTAAAATGGAAACAGTTCGTGACATATCTTTTTATATAATAAGGTACATAAAGTGTTGAACATGAACATTTGATATAGTGCGCGTAGTGATTGAACATGATTCTTATGACGCATTGGTTCTGTACTATATTGTTATGTTATCTCCTTTTACGGCATCTTTTTCAGTAAATGTATAATGATCAATTCTGTAAAAAGGTAAAAACAGATACTGATATTGTATCCCAATCATGAACACGCTGCACTGATAACCTGATCAGTGTTGACGCCACGAGTCTGCAAAAGATTATATAGACCGCACGCGGCGCTTTTCAGGTGTAACTAATCTTCCTTGGTCGATTTTCTCAGATTCGAAAAATTATATTTATACCGACCTCAAAAGAAGTCTATAACTGTATATTGTATCATAGTTTTGGGACCTTTATGTTGAAAATGTGTCAGAGTTAAATCGTATATACATATACATGCACAGTGCGTTATATTATTTACCCGCTCTCCGACGAGATGGAACCTGTTTTAACGACACCTTGTACGAATACAGATACACACGTGTGTCGATGCTCTTTCTTAAATGAATTCTAAAACGTTGACCAGCGCTATTTTTAGCGTTCGTTTTAACTAAAGGCTTTCTATTTGTATTTTTGTTCACTATGTAACAAATCGGTATTCAATTATAATCCATTGAACATATAATCTTACTTTAAACCTATGACAATAATCATGAGATTGAAGTTGAAGATAAATGTTTATCTACATTAACATTATCAGTGGCTGTCACTTTACTTTCAACTCGTTATTGGCATTTTTGAAAACACGGAGCAAAACTTTAATTAAATCTTGTGCGTTGTATATATCTCCAGTTATGTATTATGTAACTTCAAGCACCTCACCACGTAGTAATTGCACGTAGGCAAAATCACGGAAACGAAATTTATCTGTCAGTTTATTCAAAATTTCGAAATGAAATTTCGGTTTAGTACATAACACGACGTTATCTGTCATATTATTTGAAATTTTGAGGTAACCTTTTGATTTGTTCAAATTCCGTGGTTATCGGTCGGTTAACATAACAACTCGCGGTTATCTGTAAATTCTCTTAAGACATCGAGAGAAAATCTAGAGAACAGGCTATTACAGTAATACATGTACATGAGATATCTAGACTATTGATCTCCGTAATATATACGTTTAGTAAAACAACAAAATAATATCTATTTTGTTATAATGATTTTAGACAGGTTACATGGCTATATATAAACGACTGTCTGTATATATAACCCGAGCCACAATGAAAAGGTTTTCACGACCATATCTGTCAAGCTTTTTTTATAATGAATTTATAATAAAGCAAACTTTCTTCCTATAGGTAAACATGAACTAAATTTATAATTTATCTGGAGCCGTGTATATAGGTAAACCGTCATGAGTATCCAATTTAAGGTGACGTTACAAACTATAGCATACAATGACCCGAGTATCTTTTCATGGTATTTCGCATCCGCATCCGCATTGATTACAAACCATTTCATTGTAGTTGTTTATCTTATCAAGAAATAATGAAGTTTTAACAGCAAGGATAACAAGTTTTGACAGTCACTAATAAGTACATATTAGTCACGAAAACATATGAGATAAAAGTGTACCGTTTTACTAAACACTTTGTAACAGGGAATTAAATTTAATAAAAAATTATCCCTTTTCATTTAAAATGACAAATAACACGAAATCTGTATCACTGTGCAAAGAAAAGACAACTTCCAGATGCTTGTCAGACTACATTATTGCACTATTTATATAAATATGTATAGGAAACGTTTATTATTGACCTAAAAAAATATACATTTCTCTCAGCCCTTTTATGATAAATTGATATAACATAAGTAAAGCGTTTCTATATTATCCTTTTTTCTTTCATATCTTGTTATAAGCTGCCGGCACGTCCTTATTATACTTCACTTAAGTTCACTCAATTCCTTTATCACAAATGTCTTACAATAGCAATAAATCAAGGTTCTTGATATTACATGGTACTCGTACAACCATATGACCGCTGACAATTACTCTTAACAGTGTCCCTCATTACAAGATACATAGATACTTTGATCATGGTACAGGGATTACCAAGGCAACATATTCTAGAACTGCTCTCACCTCAGATTTGAGTGGTGTTATAAAAAAATTAGCATTGCTCAAACTCAGACGTCAGGCATGTGATTGGTCAGAAATTGTCACAGAATGTAC